TAACCAATCAAAATCTATCTCAGAAGCTGCAATGTAGCGTAGATTAGCTCGTATTTGGTAGCCTTAATATAGTGTCAAAAACACCACCATTAAATGTTCGTGAATCATAATCAAATAGGTTAAGTTGTTATTCCTTTATTAATGAATAACAAAACACGGGACACCTTAACTTCTGATGAGATAAAAAACAGCGAAGGACAAAAAACAAAACATAATAACAGATTGAAGAGTAATAGAAATCCCCCCACACACACAGCGTCGTGAGAAATGATCGAACGAGTGGAGTATGCTCAGAACAGGACAAGTCATAAAGTATGCGTGTATGAAATAATAAATGAATTATAAGTTTTAGTTAGTATAGTTTCACCTGACTTTAAGCATGAACGAGAGTTTAATTTCTTATAGATCATAAAAATATTTCACGCCAAGTTTAATGTTAATAAATTAGTAAATCACAGTTTTAAACATATTTTATTCATCATATTCTATTCAGACCTCCCTCAAACAAAAGCAGACTACAGATAATAAGAGTGCTCACTAGGTGGCGCTTCATTTGGAAACGTAAATGCTCAGTAACGGATTTCTAGAACAGTACAGTATTTCCTAAGTCCTTCGAGGTAATAAGTGCTGCTGTTCTCTCAAACTCTATATTGTCAGAAAAATTGTATTGTAGAGATTTCGGAGGATAAAAAAAAAAGACTTGCAAATTAAAAAAAAATTTTTATTATGACAAAGTGTAACTGATAGGGAACAAAACTATGGAATTAGCACTGTAACGCAGGTGACATAAATAGAGTGAGGGACGGTAAAAATAAAAGGTAAGTTCAATGATTTATAAACACAAATAATTTTCAGTGAAATATACGTATATGTGGTGTGAAGATAATTCATTTTAGCTCTCAGTTTGCTGGTAACTTTCTATTTGATATTTCTGAAATGAAGTTTGGAAAGTTGCGCTTAGTCAAGTTGGTTGTTTTTCATTGTCGATGTTTATAAAGCAGTTGTTTTAGTTTATATATATATATATATATATATAAGCGTCTCGAAGTCAAAGCATGACCATTAGTGATACAGAGGTAACAGTTAATACCACAATTAAACAGACTTGTCTGCCATAAGTCATATAAAGTTGACAGATTTAGAAAATAAAAGCTTTATCCTTCCCAGTCCGCTTATTACAACATTACTTACATTCCACCTCTAATTTCTAAGTTCCAATATTTGTCCACCTCACAGTCACGGTGTGATTACCTTGTCATGTTACCCTAGTAGTTTCGAAAATTTTAAACACGAATCTATGAAACGTTCACGTTAGGTTCTAATATTTTCTTTTAATTTCTCCGAAAGTTTATTGTAGGAATTGGTTAAGTAGCCGGTGACGACTAACGGTAAAAATCGAATACTTTAACTTTTAAGACTCCCGTAACCTATGTTTGAATCTCGTACTGGAAAGCTGGCGCTCGATACACATCGTTCATTGTTTCGTTTGTACAGGCTACATTATATTTTCAGTACCAGGTTAGATACAACAACACATTAAAGTCTTATAACAACCCCTGCCAATTCCATGTTAAATACAACAAGAGATTAAAAACTTACGAACAACCCCTGCCAGTACCAGTTTAGTTAAAACAACACATTAAAGACTTGCAATAACCTCTGTCAATTCCATGTTAAATACAACAAGAGATTAAAGGCTGGAACTAATGACTATTTTTCTGTTATCATGTAGTATTGAATTATAATTATGGGTACATTTTTAATATTACCACTTTTTAGAAGCGGCATAGCGGCTCATAGAATGGCAGAGTTTTTCAAGTACAAACTTTTAGCTCGTAGCTCGGTCGTCTCTTGAACGATTTCATATCTAATTACCGTTTTAGACTCGGGAAATTAATTACTCTAAAATAATTTAAATTTGAGGGTAGGCTGGTAGAGATCCTGACGAGTGGTAAAATCGAATTGTGTATACGCTAGCCTCACTCTTGGTATTGCTGTCGCACAAAAATAGCTAACTATAAAAGGGTTATTCATTTTCTCACTGTCGAGAACGCTTTCATGACAATGTTTTTAATGTTCCACAATACACATCGTCTCTTAGCAATAAAACTATCATCTGATTGTTCTTAGGCTAACTATGGTGTTTATGTTGAATGCTCAGTATTCATGTTGATTTGTTAGAAAGGTTTGTTTTTGTTATATATATTTTTGATAACTTCAGTGATATAACAGCAAAATAGTTTAATTTGAAAGTTTTACGACATGGAGTTGTAGTCAAAATCAAAATAAAAATTTACAAAGTAGTGTTTCAGATAAGCCTTACTTTACGTTTATGTATTAAATTAGACTAGAAATAGGCCTACTATTACTAACGTTATAGTCAGTATTTAAACGTTGAAGTGGTGAATAAATGTTAATTGATAAATATTCTCTTTGTATTTTAACACACGTTATCTACTTGGCCTTAAAACTTAAAGAAAATAAACGATCATTACTACCACACATCTTTTATCCTTTGTACAGTCGAAAGAGTTAAAAATTTGTCGGAATGTCCGCACTATCTTTTCTGATTCTTAATCTACAATACAGTGAAAAGGTTCAAGAGTTATTTAAGTCTTTCAGAGTACACACGTAATTTTGTTCACGATAACGTTTCATTTTTCTGTTTAATTTTTATTAAAAATGTGATTAAAGAATTACTTCGAGTAAATAAGAGTAGGTGCATTTTTGAGGTACTAATTCGTTTTAGTTCTACAATTTTCGTTAATCATTCAACAATAGTCACCGTCATTTTTTACGGGCTATTATACTAGTGTAGCTAATATAAGTTAAAAAAAATGTATCGTAGATTAATTTACTCTAATCCTGTCTACAAGAATTTTAAGTGCCACGGCTATTGAGGATTCCTCTTTTTTATATAATTGGTTAAGATGCTATACTAATGATGTATGAAAGTGACTTTGCTACATACCGATCAAAGATGAAGTATCGGTTGAAGTTACAGTAGCTTTCCAACGATGCTAGATATAAGTACATGAAACGTATCTATTTCTTTATCGCTGTTATATTCAGAAGATGTAAAACGTGTAGATATTTACGCCTAGAACTACACAGTTCGAAAACTTGTAATTCACCACATGCTGGAACTTCCTGGGTGTGGCGCATAAAGTTTCGGTTGCTTTCAAGCCAGCTCTTTAATTATCTACCGTCAAAAGGCCACTGTGAATGGAATAACGAATTAAATTAACGTTTTATGTATTTAAGGAAAACAAATATTTTCACAAAAATGTCAGTGGCGGCGCTAGACATTAGAAGGCTAAGCGATTGCTTGTGGCCCCCGGGTAGTTTAAGGGGCCTCAGGTTCAATGGGATATATTTTGTCGTCAGGACTTTGACTTTTGCCTGTTTTAGTATCGTACTCATTTGATAGTGTTTTAAAATGAACGAAATATAAAAATATATATATCACTCTGTAACGAATGGACGTTTAAAAGTTGCAACAAGACCCTTCTCAATTAGGCACACGTGCTATGCGGGTGTGCTGAATCGTCCCGAACTGCAGTATAAACAGTGTGCATGACTTAGTTGAGAGAGGAGATACCGGCGTAGTAGTGTTTGTATATTTTTGGTTTTGTATAAATATTGCAGTTTGTATTTTTAGGAGGTGGGTTTTGGGATCGAAATATATTCCTGTTTAGGGTCCCCAGTGGGCTAGCGCCGTCCCTTGAAAGATACGTGAGCTCTTCTTTAGTTTAGTGTGAACATGAGTATTTTTGTTTTCAAAATATTAACTTGTACCTTTCTATGAGACATACAACACTTTATAACACTGGATTTTGAGAGGGCCGACTGCAGTTGTACGTCTTGGGTGCGTGAAAAGCATAAGAAGACATTAACAAATATATTTTATACACCAGAAAAGATGAAGGATAGTTTTATTATTATAACGTAAGACGAGTGTTTTTTCTTTTTTTTTATAAGATAAAACCATAATAAGAATGAGTATTAAAAAGGAAACAATAACACGAGCGCTTTCACTTGCAGAATGTGGGCTTTTGTTCATCAGGATATTTACTTTTTTTCTGTTTATCCTTCGTGCTTTGGAATAATAACGAGTGTTTATGTTGGAAAATACATTTGGTGGAAACGTGTACTTAAAGTATTGACGACAATGTAGTAAAAGTAAATTCGCATAACGATGTTTTTGTTCTATCAACTCGAAAACGATAGTTTTTGTTAATTCTACGCGAATGAAATGTATTTAACAAAAATGGTATCTTATATTGACACATACAAACGATGTTAACATGCTTTACCCGAAGTTGTGAATGTGTGTGTATGTGTATTTAAGTAGCTTTACAGCACAGATTTTTTGCCGCGGTATAGCGGCTGATAGAATGTTCGAGTTTATTTTGAAGTACGAACTTTTAGCTCATAGCTTACTCATCTCTTGACTGATTTGAAATCTAATTACAGTTTTGGACTTGTGAGGTTAAACTCTTTCGATTGATGTATTTCATTACATCCAAAGTCTCATATTGATGCCCTCTAATCCCACCTAAAGGAATTTTAATTTGAGAGTAGGGTGGTAGAGATATTGATGAGTAATAAAATCGAATCGAGTATACGTGCGCCCCTCGCTTGGCTTTGCTTTCCCGCAAAAATATAGCTAATAAAAAAGGAAAAAAAAAGGGATCTTAGATTAACATATTCTAATCCAGCCAAAAATAATTTGTAGTGCCGCGGCTATTAAGGATTCCCTCTTGTTCTTTAAATTTTAAACAAAGAAAAAAATCGTATTTCGACAACTTTCATAAGATTTGCTAGAATACATAAAATGAAAAGTAAATGTTGAGATAAACCGTTAAGTGATTTGTCAAAATTGTCCATAAACTTTAGTCCGTTGCCGTTTCTATTATTTTGAACCATTATATGCACCTAGTATTCTTGACTCTGTTGAAGTAACTTAATTTTGAGCTTTTCTTATTTTTATGGGTTTTTACATTCTTACTTTAAACTTCATATATTGTTTTGTTAGGAACTATATTATGGGGATGATGTTTTTGTGTTTCGATCACTGTTTTATTAATCTGCTACAAAATTCTTGAAACGTGCGTTTATCCCTCAATTATCTAAACATAGTTGCGTTGTGCAGTACCAGATAACTTAATTATTTTCCTGATACTTTCTGAAAACAACTTGCACATGTTTTATTAGTGAACAACGCATTCAGTAGTTGCTATATATATATATATATATATATATATATATATATATATCTTCGTCTACTACTACTCGTTAGTTATTAGTTAATTAGTTATTTTACTTAATTACTTAATTACGTATTGTACGTACGTACCTACCTACGT